TAGTGGCGGAATTATGGTTTTAGTAGGTTCAGCTAAATAGTGTAGCTGAGTGGTTATGATTATACCAAAGAGATTAAACGTTATGGAATATAACGCCTACAGAGATCAAGGGAGTAAATACCCGTTTTAAACATAGTATATTCGGTTGGATCGTAACTACATGATGTAAGCTGTTACATCAGCCTCCTCCTAGAACTGACTTCAGCTGGAATGTCGGTTCGATAAATTTGGAGGACAGAGTATACCATTCTTACTTTTGACATTATTGCTTTGACATTCAGTGATGCTTCTTGCTCAGTAAACATTCAAATATATTTTATGAGTTGTGCATATTTTACTAGTTTTTTACTTCATCATTGTAGCATTTGGATTCTTCCCACAACTAAATGTGCCTAACTTTTCACATCTGTTCTTAGTACGGGAACCAGAGAGAGTAAGAAAAAGGAAGGCAAGAAAAATGAGACTGGAATATCTGAGGTGTGGCAAGTAGTTGACCTAACAACACGAGTAGAGAGAGTCGTGGATGCACACTGATGGTTAGTCCCATTCCAAGACGAAGCGACCGTCCAGCGCTTCCAATTTTCAAACCGTGGTCTAGCGTTGACATAGTCATGATTTGAAAACAAACAGTAAATACACAGTCTGTTCCCCATAAACTTTAAATCTCGCAGAATGTTACTGCGATGTGGATGGAAGCAAACACTGAGAAGATTTCCTGGGGACTATCGTGCACTAAAATTGGACAGGGGAGCTTTAAGATCAGTGCTAGTGTAGTGAACGAGAACACAGGTGGGGCAACCGAATTGTATTTAACGAAAATTACAGAGTTAATCAGTAAAATCGGAAAACAATATCGTAAATCGTTAAGTTGCAAAATATCAGTTCATCATATTGAACTGGACTGTTCCTGTTGCAAAACATCAATCCATTGTCACTATTCATGAGTTTCATACAAATTCCATTGTTTTCTAACTCTTCCTTTCTTGATCTTCCCCCATCTTCTGCTGCTAGACATTACGTTGACACTCAGGTCATATACTACTTATAAGTAGTTTGCATCACACTAGTAGTCAGTCACAGTAAACAAACACTAAGATTGGGTCCACATGGGCAGAAATTGTCCGTTGGTCAACAATGTCATGAAGCACCCAGGATGACGGTGATTCGAGCGGGTGCAAGCACAGTAAATTTGGTTGCGAAACTCCCACCCACATTCTATATCACCCGATTTCAAACTGCTCGGACATCGGTAATATATATTACATATATTCTATATAATGTATATATAAACGTTTAGTCGAAATGAGTGATTTATGATGCTTTTGTTGCGTATGTGTGTCACTGACAATACTTCCGATCCGCTGATTACAGGCGTTATTCATCCTAAATCACTGTCTCTTAAGGTTCAAGGTGCGCATGCATTAAAATAACTGATAATATGAATAGGCGGTAGTAATAATAACAGCAACTAACATAAACCAACCCAGCTAATCAAAAAGATACTTTTCAACTCGAGCATAGCCGTGAGAGACAAACTGTAAACTCACAAAACGATGTTCAAGAAGTTTTACTCCCAGAATACTTATGTGATGGAACGGGTTCCGAAATTCATGCTTATTGTGACTTACTGATTCTGTAATTATTTTTTCAGGTAAACGGTTGAGTACCATATATGATGGTTCAATGCTCATCGTGTTTTTGTCTCTATCTTAATGTTATGGAAGGTTTTAGTTTTCTTAGGACTTCCTCCAATAGCCCTTGGAATGATGGACTAGGTAGAGCTTTGATTGTATCGCATCTCATCCGAGAGTTTAGATCCCTTCGCACATATCACTTCATCCTACATCTTACATAGTAGCCCTGATATTCCAGGATATTTAAAGCTGTCTTTAACAGAAGACTGCTAAATTATTATCTGCAGAATGCCACCAAGAATATCGATATGCATGAAAATGCGATACTATATAATATAACGCGTAAATATATTAAGAGAGTAAATACTCACTTTAGGTATAATATTCTGATTCTGACTGATGTATTCGGCTAGGTTGTAGCTACTTAACATTGGCTGTTGCAGAGTCTTACGACAATTTGCAAACAATATTAGGCAATCTTTGGCATTATTCTTGAGACCACTGTAGGGCGGTGGATAGAAATAAACCAGTTTCTGCATGGAAAACCTAGCTGTTTATTGTTCTGTACGACACTTTCAACCCTCTGCTGAAGGCCGAAGGTTCACTGTTTTCACGGACCATGAACCTTTAACTTTTCTCCTCGCGCGTCTTCAGACAAATACTCTCCACTAGAGTCCTGACCATACACAACATTTTTTTGGGCAAAGAGTGCGGTTTCAGATATCTTGTCTCATATGACTTCTTTGAACCATTTCCAAATATTTTACCGGCCTAAACTCACGCAAATTCAGAACGAAGACACTGATCTTCTGCACGAGTTATCGTTGACAACCTTGAAACTACGAATCTAACAGATGTTAAAAGTAAAGAAACTTTACTTTGTGACATGTCAATTGTAGGGATCGCCCGATCTTAACGAAACATTATACGCGCCAAAATCTTCGGTAAATTACACAAGTTTTTTCATCCAGTTGCCTAGGCAAACATAAAGCTGATAGCAGTAAGATTAAGCTGTCCTGGTTTCAACATAGACGTGAGGAAACCTGAAACAACTGATGCATCCACTTAACACTCCTCACCACTCAGTACATATCTTTTCGTGCGTTGAAACTCATCATATCGACCCTGTGAGGCTGTGTTTCTCTTCGCACTTATCTAGGGCGCATTTCGTCACGCAATTACTTTCTCATTCTATTCTTTCCAGGTTGATTAGAATATGTGGGGTCAGAAGAACAACTCAAAAAACTGACTCTGTCATCGCAAATCTTTGATGTATTAAAATTATTCACCTAATGGCTAATTAGAATAGGCAAACTCTATCAGAATCTACTGGACAAAGCAATCCACCAGAACAGTGTTAACCAACTTCACACGTTGGTCATATATATTAGGGTCGTCACGGTAGACAAAAGCACCTGGTTTTACTTTGCCTGTGATTAATCGATCAACTGATACTCTACTCACTACTCTGATTCTTTTTGTCAGTATCATTACTGCCGTTTTAATTATCGCCCACAGGTGGCCACTCCACTATACTTCACCCTTGTTTATTTATTGATCCCAAACTTTGCCTGTTCTCGTTATTTGCATCAACTATTAATTTTTTCCTCCTGACAGTTCTTAGTGGTCTGCGATCTGACTTCTTTATTTATGAACTATTAGGTATGCTATGAAATAATTCACCACTTCAGTTTCCGTACATCTGTATTGTGCCGTTTTATCTGCGTTTACTGAGTTCGGTTTATAAATCAGAACATGAAATCGTATTGATGAATACGTTTATTCGGAACACACCACAAAGCGAAGCGGAATTGGAGAAGGGGCTAAGAGCCAACTCAAAGAGATAGAACATGACTAAGAATATATAGTCAGATAAGAATAAGACAGATATATGACAAGCGAAATAGGCATGCGCAGACATGAATAAAAGCGACGAATGATTGACAAGGTCAAAAGCAAGCGATACAAATCATGTGAGTTCATGGGGATATTAAGAGATTAACATTTAAGCGAAAAGGATGAGTAAGCGCGTAGGCGTAAACAATGCTCAGTCGTACAAGCTCATACAAAGCAGATAATAAAAAATACAAATGGTACATATGAGTTGTTGCTTTACAAATGGCTTGGTTAAATAAATTAATCGAAAGGGCTTAACCAAGTTAGATGTAAGAGAACTGGAATATATGTGGAGGCACTACACATCATACTTAGGTGGACCTCGTTTGTGCGACAGCGGAAATATGAAGTTAAATACCGATTCGGTTGGATGAGTTTATTTTACGCCATCATTAATACAGACAGATACGAAAACGAAAAACGTACAAGGAAAGCCAAGCGAAGTAGTGAAGGCAAGCGAACCAACTTATGACGAAGCATGACTAAGTATTGTCAGAAAAATTAAGCCCAGCATGCAATAAGCGAAGTGACACACTCGCTCGAATAATTACAACCAAGATGAGAGGGAGTTACTGAAAAAGTCAAAAGACGAGGGAACAATAATTGAGGAAGAATGGATTGATTAAATTGTCGGAAGGCTGAGACATGCCCAATAGCTTTGATATAAAAGTACGCAAACTACCATTCATATTTAATTCGCACCTTTACACTGCAGTCTTATAGTTTATTGTATTGAAACAGTCCTACCAACAACAATATATTTAAACAGAAGCGACTGTTTGTACTAAAAAAATACAAACTACACTTATTCACCAAACTTACCAGAACCTCTTGAAACAAGAAGCTAAAATACCCATACTCTAAGGTACGGAAGACTTTATAGCTAACCGAGATAAAATACTACTTCGCGGGATAACGAACGTTAATCTCTTTAATCTAGAAATCGGGTAAAAGACGATTCTAGATGAAGAAGTATATTTATTTCTAGACTAGTGATATCGAAATAATATCGAGGCCAGAGGGTACACAAACGGCAAACGACCGGGCAGGAGAAGCGCGGAGAAAAAGAATGGGAATGACACTCTTGGTGTCCAACATAACTATTATTGTCAGAATGATGTTTATATTTCAGCAATTGTGTTTTCTTCGTAGAAGTATACCACTACACCTTAATGTCAAGTGGAACCAACGAAACTAATTGGTCTATGAAAGATTTTGATAGATCAGTTTAAAGACGAAGATATTCGACTATTACGACAACCATCATCATCCTATCCTGCTATTCATTCTATTGATTCGTAAATTTTTAATGGGCTAATAGTGAGATGTCATAATGTATTAGCAATAAACTTCGTTGGACATTCACCTTCAAGTGATTGAACAACGAAAAAGTGTTTATCTGTACAAAAAAGTTCAGGTATTTCGGTAAAACAGACACTTTCAAATTTTACCATTTGTTTTCGTTCAAAGATGAGGGAGGTTCAAACTGAGGTAACTATGAGATTTTATTTCTACAAAAAATTGAAGATGCATTTTTTGCGGCTTCCTCATGACTAAAATTTACAGCTTTTTATGGTCTCTACTAAGAATCCAGGTTCTGTTGAAATGGATTCAGATTAGTATGATGTAGAACAGAGAGAATATTTCAGGTTTGAAATCATTCATTTGTAATCTACAAGTCAAAATTAGCTTGCGTTAGTACAGAGGAGATAGATCTAACTTCTTTAGCCTCCCTGTGTATGAATAACGTTTGAGTTCTGGAATTGTCCAAGTAGTTGCTCTCTGTACCTTTTCTAAGACATGTGTCTAATTTCGAAAGTACTCGCAGTTCATAGAAATTCTACCACTTCTTGAAACTATTATAGACGAATTTCACGAATTCTCCTAATCGAATGCAGGTCAACACAGAAAGTGTAAAAATGTAATGTTTTAGTATTTTTAGATCATTTGAGTTACTGTTCATGGGAATTTAATGTAATATATATAACAGAAGTTAACTTGTGCATGTATGTTGAAAAAGTTTGTGTCGTAAATCGTTAAACTAATGTCACAACTTTTTGATTTTCGCTTTAAATTTTAAAGTATGTTATATGTATGAGCTTTGAAGTCTTTAATAATAGATGGATATACTGAGTTTTATTGATGTGGTTAAAATATAATCGCTCATCTATTTAATCGCGAATCAACAGATTACTCCGGGTTTAACAGATAAATAGTTTAGGATATAAGGCTGAAAAATGTTGATTTCTTTTTTATTTACATTAGACGAAAATTGTTGCAGAATATGCCTTAGCACCTAAGACTAAGATAAAATAATTATTCCGCAGATGTGAGGAAGTTTGAGTTCCTTTCTTGGTTCTCGAGGGATGATGGATGAACAACACTAAATAATTAAGATTGATCTCGAGAAGCCTATGGAATAGTACTTATATGCATCACTAAACCTTTAGTAGCCATCGGTCTTCGTTTGAAATGTCAGTTGATGAGATCCCCAATGAAAGAGGGTTATCATACGCCTTCTTATAAACATTTTTATGCTCACTTCTAAGTACGACCCGTCAAATCCACTTTCAACTGAAAATGAATCGCAGTGTGCTGAATTATAAAACTGATACTTTATTGTTACATATTTACTCGGTTGTACTTATTCCATAGGTCACGTTTTTATTCTCAGTGATCTTCTGTTCCCCTTCAAATTTGTCCCGAGGGATAAAAAATCCCTATACTTTAAGGTGATAGATCATTGGCTCTCGGATAAACTGCTTTAAGCTATCTTGAATACTGGAGTATAAATTCTGGAGGTTAATTTAGAAATCAATAATAGCAACCAAACATTATTGTTTAGTATACTGCATTTATCAAGGTTTAGTAAGATCGTGTTATTTGTTGTCTGTTTGTGGATTTTATTGAGAGTCTCTTTAAGCATAGCCGTATCTAAAGGTCTAAAGATCTAAGAATTAGTGATGACGTAAACATATAACATGATTCGCTGACTAGGCATTAGGGAATTAAATAGGCAATGAAACACTGTATACATTTGATATAAAACTATGTTCTAACGGTTTAAAACAAATATGTAGAGTCTGAAACCTACCACTAAAGTGATACTTTGTTCATTAAAAAATTCAGACTTGTATTCAGAGATTAAAACGTCGTAGCTCGTGATTTCCTCGACCGGTAAACGTTAAGACTGAAAATTTTAATTAGCTGTAGCATAATGACATGGCGGTTCCGACGCTATAGTTTTTTCTGACTAGGATGCGCTTACTTTGTATAGCTTCTTTTAGTTTCCAGTTCATCGAGGCCTGAAAGCACCCGGCATGTAATAAACTGGTAATTTTAGTATTAGGCAACAATCAAAAGAATTTATTAGATCTCATACGTCTATATTGCGTTTAAAGGCGATAATAGCTTTATCTGCATACCCATCCTAGAGTTTGTTTGTGAAACATCTTACAGTTTTATATCAAAGAATGACCGGCGAATTGATTTTTATGAGCTTAATACAGAATCTATATTTCAAAATATCTCTGTATCAACCCTTTTGTTTGATTTTTAACTCATTTGTTCTGTTAAATGTATCAGGACCTTTAAATATTTGGGAGACAAGGAAAACAAAAAATATTTTACACGAAGTCTAGCCACTACCTCTGTCGTGCCAGTCAATCAACATATTATTCAGTTGAGTCAGTCTAATTATGGTATTTTGAAGGAACATACAAAGTGTTTATAAGGTTGCGTTATTTTATAATCTTCCTAAAAACCAGAGATAATGAAAAATATCTGCCTTCACTGACACCACGGAGCTTTACAAGTGACTTCTTTGGGAGATGTATGATAATGATGGGTGGGTCACGATTTAACAAATGTTAGACACTTCTTCAAAATTTTTATGTACGGTTTTCAAAAATAAAAGCAAATTTTCTGCTTAACGTATTAATTGGTACCTTCAAAAGGCACCAAATTTTGTTGGCTCTTTTGTTACCTGGGCTTAAGGGTAAATTTTTTATCCATTTTTGTAAGTCTATTGTGTTTCGAGTATTTTCTTACACAGTTAACTGTATTCTAATTCTTTGATGTCAATAAAAATGTTATTGAATTATTTAATACACTGACTACTACTGACGCTTGGAGTCTACTTTCTTCCTATTAATGTCATCGTTAAGGTTGACTTCTTTAGCAATTAATTTGTAATCTGTACAAAACAGAGTAGTGAACTTAAATTCTATTCGATGTTATGGTTTTTATAGCTTAAACTTTCGTCTTTTAATATTTTTGGGTTCAACCCACAATATAAACTTAGTAAGCTTATTATAATACGTACACTCTTGCATGAGGGAATAGGTTAGTATTGCGAATGAGAGCTCATAAAATACTATGTTTCTCACTTGTCGGTTACTTGGGTTTTAAAAGATTACGGATAGGATAATTATTTTTTTTATCTTGTATCACGAACTCTAAGTGAACCGTTTTACCAGAGCAACAAGCGTAAGCTGCGCTTGCAGCATTCAAAAAGTCAGTTCAACTTGCCACATATTTTTTCATGAAACCTAATGTTGTATGCATTCATGTGCAATCCTAGGAAGAATTGGAACAGGCTATCAAGGAAAGCGAAACAAGGTTGATGATATTAGATTTTTTTGCGGATTGGTGTGGCCCGTGTAAAAGGGTCGCTCCAGAACTGGACAAAATTTGTGAGGAATGGGAGGATGTTTTATTTGTAAAACTAAATGTGGATGAGTTAGAGGTAGGTCTTCGAAGTTTCTATATCATCTTCAAGTATTTTTGGGTATTTTTTTCATAATTACTTTCCAAAAAATAGTGTTAAAAACAGATATTTTAACCTACTTAAGGTCATTTTTTCATTATTTGTTAGTGTTAATTTTTGAGTGATAGAATGTCGTCTATTCAGTTACGAAATCATCATATTAAGTACACTCATGTTAATAGTAGATTCATCTGAAGAAGGGGTAGGATAAGCGCGTAATTTGTTTTAGATGTTTATGGTTAAATATGTTCCATTTAGCCTGCTAAATTGTATGGATGATAAAGCTTATTTTCTTTTTGGAGTATGTGATGGATCTGACATTCAGAAAGGCTTCGAAAGCTTGATTACTGAACCATCCATATCTAAGAATATAATACGTCTCTAATTATCCTCCTTTAAGCTAAGTTTTTTTATCACATCTATTTTCTCTACAACTTATCATAGATTATTTTAATAACAAACATCACCAACTGGTTTTAACAGTTTGTTTCATTTTGATTTCTAAACTTTACCAATGACTAATAGTTTGCAATCGGTTCTAATTACTTTTGTTTATTGCTTCTTTCAACTAAGTTGAACGTGCACCAACAGATGTAATTTTAAAGTGTGTTTAGTTGAATAACATTTATTTCGTTATACTATTCCTCTGACACTCCAAAAAGAGCTGCGATTTTTATACTTCGAAGAAGACTTATGCATCCACCACTATGTAAATTTTATTTAAATAACAAGTCCTAGAAATAATGAGGAGTCTGCAGTTCCCCTTATCACTAATCACTTGTTAAATAATACTGGAAAATTAACAAGTGATGATACGAAAGTATTCAGGCAAAAGTCTTAACTTCCAATAACATGTTATATATATTTCGGTCAGTTTACAACAATGTACCTTCAATCTCATTTGGTCTGCACATGTATAATCCTAATATTTAATATGGTATCAAGAAAGACTTTGTTGATGCTGATGTGGTTTAAAACGTCCCGATATTTTAATGGGTGGTATTATGCATACATATGAAAACTTTACGATGAAAAATTAACTTGTATGTGCAATTCTCTTTGGTTAAAGTATGTATGTTGCATGTGACGTGCTTGCATCTCTATAATTGTCTTCTTTTATTCGTAAGTGATGGTTTCTAACATATGTTACACGGCTACCAAAAACTGTGGTGCACAATTAAGTGAATGGGACGTCTTTTTATTAGACTCTGAGTTTTATTCATAAAAGCTGATCGTTCTTTTTGTTAACGGCTGGATTGAAAAGTATCTCATAATAACAGATTATGCAAGAATGTTTCGACTTAAATCGCTACAACATCCTAGGAAGATGGAATCAATGAGACTAGAAAATACTAAAAAGACAAAGAATGGACAACAGTCACAAAAAGGACCCATATCGACTACGGTAGAGTGTGTGTTGTGTATTTCCCAGTAACCCTTATTAGTCTACCGATTTACTTAATTTAAGCACATGGAAAGTTATGAAGAAGTTAGATCAATCCATTAAATAATTAACTGCAATTAAAAATTGTAAAATGGATACATAGTGTCAAACTTTTCTCCCATGCTATATAAGATATTAGTATTTATAAACAAAGTGAGGTATTTATAAAATAATCCACGATATCCTTCCAGTCGTTCAATTATTTTGATTTGTGCTTTTAGTAACTTACCTTTTTACTACTCAACAGGATTATAACTTCGGTCATGTTAGTAATTTGGACAAAATTACAATGATTAGTTATGTTTCACTCAGTCGATCCTTATTTGTTTATCCTACTCTTTTTATGAGATACTGAATTCATGGCAGGCCACTGATTTCTAAAAGTTACATGAAATATGGATAGGACCGAAATTTATTAAAGCGATGCTTTTGCTCACAAAGTTAATAAGAATGAAGAATTTCGCTGATGAGAAGAGTTGAGATTAGATTTGACACAGGCTAAAAATTAATAATTCCCGGAAATATATGAAAGTGAAGAAATCCCCCCATTAACAGAATGAGATATCGATTATTGATCTGGTGACGTAGAAGCCTATGTTTTATATTTTCTGATGATAATATTTTCAGTATTGATGATTACTGTCAATTAAATTTTATTTAATGTGTCATCCTCACTTTACTTTTATTTCTAGTCCGCAGCTGAAACGTATGCCATAGCAGCAATGCCTACATTTATTGCATTCAAAGGCGGTGAGAAAGTGGACGAAGTTGTTGGTGCAAACTTAGATAAACTAAGAGAGATGATTGAAAAGTATAAGTAACTACACCACTAATATCAATGAAAAAGAACCATTTCATCAGACATCTTTCTGTATCACACTCAGTCATACATTGCACTCAGTTATTATTATTGCTTGTAAAATGTGTTTATGAATTCAGTAGCATTTAAATTTTCATTAATTAAAATTGATGATATATATTTGTTAACAGACACATGAGCAGTAATACTTTTAAATTTCGTTAGATATATTCATTCAGTCAATATTATATTTCCCTACAGCTGATTACATAGTTTTGTTACTGAGTGAGCTGTTTTCCTTTGTTTCCGTAAATTGTTATTTTATTTTGGTCAATAACAATTTACTCAATGCTCAATTAATTTGAAACCTTGGTAATAGCGTTTAAGTAATACGTTTAATTGTCGAAAAATATAAAAAAATATCTATTAGTGTTCACTAACATTATAACTAATATTATACACGTGCTATAAGTCACCTATTTAAACAGGTAAAAATAAATCTATGCATAGAATGTTGATCTTAGTAATTTATGTGATTGACTTAAGAATCAGTAACCTTTTCATCTGAATTATCAATATAAATCGCTACTAATAATATTTAATACAAATAGCATGTTTGAACATGGTGGTGGAGATACTAATATCCGAAATAATTAATAGTCTATCGCGTAAAATAAATCATGCTTGGAAAATGTTTTGTGAATTTTTTATGCCGTTGTAATAAAGTGTCCACTTTTTGATTTAATACAGTATACTAGACTGGTTTTGTTGAAATTTATTTTGCAAATCACATCCTAATGTGATCTTAAGTTAGTGACCAATCATTAAAAATATCTATTCTAGTTTAATGTTTCTTTATTTAACAAATGTTTATCTCATAGTTATTTGACATTTGTTCTTTTGATAAAATGAAACTAAAACAAATACTTCATATCATTCTGTTAAAACAATCAAACATTATTGAGACTTCATAACTATCTCGAAAATAGAATATTTTATCAATGACAAAATATTGTTGGTTTAAATTATCTACTACCTATACCGAAAGAATTTGCTCTCTACAGTAATAAAGTGATGCTAGTTTTGCAACAAAATTAATCATAAAAAACCCAGTAGTGCAGTAAAAAAATATAACCAAATCCGTCACTATTATTCGTATTTTCATCATGAAGCTGTGTCGTAGATTATTTTAATGTGTTGCGATAAATCAACAGTGATAATTTTCGATTTGTTCTGCAGCTTTAATACTCACGATTCACACGGTTGGAATAATGGAAAATTATAGTTCAGTGCAGTATTTTTATAAGATTTACAGTTGACTGTATACCTTTTCATCTGATAGAATTTATTGTAAATGAAATACTAAGATCCTTAGCATTACTGATCAGCCTAAGGATGAGTATATCTGAAGCATTGCTTACATGAGATAGGATTGAAAGTGAGTATTGCTGAAGTTAAATGTCGGAACATAAACAATAATAGCAAGTCCATTGGTAAAACTGTGAACCATAACCGACTAAAAGGATTGAAACATGTTGTAAATATTTCGAAATTCTGTCTGCTAGAATACGTAATGTCGGCTGGGGTGAAAAAGTTTGCGACAAGTCTAGAGATGGTCAGTCAAAGATATGACATCAATCCATAAATTAATTAACCACTGACCTAAGTCATGTCAACAGGCGTAGAATCCGAGCTTTCAGTCTACGACACAACCGTGATAAATGATTCGGGTTAATTTAATGGTGCGTCCTAGAGCCCTTTGAAGGGACGCAGTCGGATCTATATTATCATCTTCCACTGATTCACTGGCTTGGCTTTACTCAACTGTTCTTTTCTTTAGAACTCATTGGATCCTGTCAAACTAGATTTTCTGTGTTTTGATTTCCATGTGAGCTGATATTATGTTGATAAATTCGATATTTTGCTTTCCACTCATAAATTTCTCGCTATGTTATATTAAGTGTAACAGACTGCGCCATTATTCATTCTTATTTGGCCGTATGCTATCCATGACTGATTAAAAAGTTAGATTAAGATAAAATGCTTCTCACAGGCTAATGGATAGTAGTGGAAAACATGCTCGTTTAAAGAAGATATATAAATCCTCGAATCTCTTGAAATGGTAGCGCTTATGCCTAACGATGTTGAAACTTCATCAATTTCTGTGGTTTATTCAGGTGTTTTAAACATAAAATAGAAACTGAACAACAAATAAACAACAAATAAATTAGACAGTGGAATTTATTGTTTACTCTCTGAATAATTGACTAACATTAATATGAGAAACGTCAAAAGTTCAATTTTCTAGTTATTCGAGTATCACTTATTTATCATTATTTTATTACTAAACAATGAGTAGTTTAAAAGAAGTAAAGATTTATAAAAATAACAGGTTCCACAACTAATAGTTAATCTTCACAGTTTTAATGAGGGGTAATTACGTTGAGCCATACACTCGTGATAAACTACCTGAAAGTATTTATAGATTACGATAAACTGAGTGAAGTTTCATTAGGTGTTCACTTCGGTCAACGTACATGAAAGATAACCTAATCGACAGACAAACATCATCTTTTTAGTGCCTAGGATAGGTGTAAGTTCGCCAAGGTTTCCATACTTGATTGGCACGATTAGATGAAATTAATAAAATAACAGCAATAACCTGGTAACAGTGATAGGAACGAGAATAAAGCTTACCGATATGATTTGAGAAGACAGTGAGGAAAGGTATGCATGAAAGAATACTGTAATTCAAAATAGAGGAGAAGATAAAAGGTGAATGGATCTGTGCTACTACAAACAATTCTGAGCCATCTCACCCGAATTTTTATAAATAAATGTACAAATGAGGGAGCTAGATAGATAGAAAAATGGGCACAAAAAGTTGTTAGTATTCTATTTCGCACTCTTTTGTATTTTTTGATGGTAAATACATATTTTATCCCGGTTTTCTTATTCCACATTTGGCATAAAAATAGTCGATGAGTTATCCGAATTTTATGACTTCAAAAGCCATGACAAAAGCAATCACTTTGGGATGTGAAACAGTGAGTCCCTATTATAAATTTTGATAGAACAATGAGAAGACGTAAATGATTTGTAAAACGTGATGTATTTGCGCCATACATTTGGGATTGTCTATTACATAAAAACGATGAGAGTTTCTTTTGATACTTTGCAAATTATTGGGAACAACCCTTAAATGTTTCTGTTGGAGATAAGTAACAACTACGTTTCTAGAGAGTTCCACCTGAAGCCCCTACGGGGTTACCACCAGTCCAAAGTCCCGATTAAGTAAGTGGTTTGGGCATGAGGTTGACGATCACATCCCGTAGAAAACCAACTCGCTAAAATATGCGAACCAGAAAACATTATTTAAACCATTTAAACTCTGCGTTAGGAATTAGAAGTTCTTCATTCAGAAGAGTTATGACGTCTCATGATGAATGCCGAGTTCCTTCGACACCACGTCAGAATCGATCATGTATCGACCGAATCGCAACATTATGGATCACTGTGGAACAATCAGTCCAATGGAACTCACCACTCTACATCAACTTCATTAATAATGAGAAAGCATTTGAGAGTGTGGACAGGACAATACTATGGAGGCTACTTAGACACTAAGACGTGCCTGAGAAGATATTCAACATATTATGATGTATTAAACTGCAAAATCGTGTACAGAGGATTGCTGACAGACTCATCCGAGGTGGAGACCCATTTCAGGCTATGTTGCTTGCTCTCACCCTATCTCATCCTACTGGTGATCGACTGGATTATGAAGATGTCAACATCTGGAGGGAAGCATAAGATACAGCGGACAGCCAGGATGCAGCTGGACAATCTGGAATTCGCGGATGATCTGGCTCTTCTATCGCATACGCAACAACAAATGCAAGAGAAGACGACCATTGTAACGGCAGCCTCAGCAGATGCAGCAGTAGGTCTCAACATACATAAAGGGAAAAGCAAGATTCTCCGATACAACACAACACGCGCCAACACAATCACTCTTGATGGAGATGCCTTAAAGGACATAAAAGCCTTTACATTTCTGGGCAGCATCACTGATGAGTAAGATAGATCTGATGCAGATGTAAAGGCGCGGATCAGGAAAGCAAAGACTGCATTTTTACAACTGAACAACATCTAGAACTGCAAACAACTTCCAACCAAAACCAAAATCAGGATTTTAATACAAATTTGAAGAAAGTTCTACTGTATGGAGCGGAAACTTGGAGAACTACGAAGGCCATCATCCAGAAGATACAAGTGTTTATTAACAGTTGTCTACGCAAAATACTTCGGATCCGTTGGCCAGACACCATCAGCAACAACCTACTATGGGAGAGAACAAACCAGATTCCAATGGAGTAGGAAATCAGGAAGAAGTATTGGAAGTGGATAGGACACACACTGCAAAAAGCATTCAAATCACAAGACAAGCCCTCACTTAGAACCCTTGAGGTCAGAGGAGAAGAGGAAGACCAAGAAACATAGTACGCTGAGAAATGGAGACAGACATGAGAAGAATGGATAAAGATGGGACAGAACTGAAAAGGAAAGCTCAGGACAGAGCAGACTAAAGAACACTGGTCGGCGGCTGATGCTCCATTGGGGGTAACAGGCGTAGGCAAGTAAGTAAGTAATGTTTCTAGAGCGGCCAATATGTCGAACTACTTTTTACTCTGGCGAATGTTCCCATGTTGTATATGGTTTACTGAAGCTATTCTGTGTGTCATCACTTATCTGCTTGATATATGAACAACCTCTTTTGGATTGTCGGTCGGTAATTCCGTAGAGTTCTTCGTTGCTAGATATATCCTAACCAAAATAATACTTGTTTTTATTCATTTACTCTGAATGTATTGTTCTACTTCTGTTTAAAAAAATAAACATGCAGCATTCAAGTAGATGAAGAATATCAATATGAACAGAAAAATACAATACTATTTTATTTTAAAATGATTTTTAAATTGACTATGAAAAAGTCAGACGGCTTGATTAGAATGATC